TAGGTTCCACGGTTATCCGTGTGATTCATCCCGGCTTGCTCTTCAGTCCCTGGCTATGTGCTCGACCACACTGAGTCAGCAGCACCCAGTCCTCCAGCTGCAGTTCGGGGAAACTTTTCTGCCCCTCCCGTCTGTTTTGCTTTTGTGGGATCCACTCCTGGATGAATTCTTTGGTGCTGAAACGGTTCTGTGTGGTGAAAAAGGCTGTTCCACATTTGTTCTACTTTTTAAGAAAAACATTGCTGTTTTCTCTTAATGTGGAATCATCTCAGTGCTTCTAAGATGTGGACCTGAGCTGTGCAGAGATCCTTTGCTGTTTTTTCTCCCATTTTATACACGTGCTAGGACAGGATCTGTGATCACCACTCACTGGGGACAAAGTACCCAGAGGATAAGACAAGTGACCCTGAGTGATTACAGAGCACTGGGTGAGGAATTCAGGATGCTGGATGCGGAGGTCTGTGCCTCTGGTGCTGCCCATGCTCAGGGCAACGGCTCTCTTGAGAGATTTTCTCCTTGAGTGCATTCAGTCCCTTCAGACTTAAAAGTTGTCATGATTCCCGGAGGTGCAAGGCATGACCACAGCATTGGTAGCCTCAAAGGTTGGTCCCCTCAACCCTGCAGCATCTTAGCCCTGCTCTTTGCAGGCATTAGACGGGAGCATTTACTCCTCACTCTTGTTTTGTTGGGGATGTGTTTGCATTTTGAGTAAATCTCCTGGGCTCTCACCATCTCCTCCTTTACTTCATTGCAGGGAGAGAACTTCACTCAGTTGGGGAGAAGCAATTGGGTAGACCTCCTGTCTTTCTCTTTCTCTGTTGAGGAATAGCCTGGAGAAAGTAAGCATTCCCTGCTCCTTGAAACCTTAAGATTTAAAGGGCAGATCCCTATGTGGCAAAAACCTCTATCTGCCAGCACTACCTGGCACTGCCTGGGTGACTTGAATAGCATTATATTAATAAACCCAACATCCTGAAGTTGTGCTTTGCAGCCAAGACTTTGTCCGTTTAAGTAACTTTACCTGTCCGATTCCTATGCCTCTTAATTGATTCAGAACTTGGCAGGAGAGAGGCTCTTAAGGGGCCTTAAAATCTTAATCAGCCAGGCCTCCTCTGGTTGGCTTTCAATAGTCATTTGGTGCTATCGCTTGTGTCAAGATGCACCCACCTCATGTGGTCATAGGTGGGGCTTTTCAGAGATGGCACAATCTAGAGTGTGTGATGCTGAAATCAATGGTGTGTGATTACTAAATTAGTCCACTGATTGGTTTGGCATAGCTCTGGGTAGAATTAACGGTGTCCCACCCTGGGTAGGGTTACCCTAAGGGTGGGTAGCCTGGATGCAATATGAAGGAACAGTGATAGAGACCACTACGAAGCAGCTCTGAGCAGGATTTAAATCAACCAATTAGCTTGCTTGTGAGTCTGTCCAAGGCCTAGGCCTCTTGTGTGGAGATGGGCAGTGGACTCATAGTAAGTGAAGCTCAATGAGTCACTTGTCCCCACTGAGGTCTGTAGTGGCCGGTGAAGCCAGGAGGCCTCAAAGGACAAGACAAGGCCACAGCTGAGGACACCTGACTCCAACATCAATTAACTAGATAAAGACTATGGCTGTAGGCATCTCACTCCTAGGTGGAGACTTTCCTGGAGATAACATAGTTTTCCTAAATGAACACAATGTCTTACTTGGAGAAGTCCTTGAGCAGACTTCCAAGGTCCTTGAATGGTCCTGATCAGATTCCCACCTTTCTTCAGTATTCCCCTCCTTTGTTTGATAACTAAATAAATGTGGGCCACCCAGAGAAGATTTAGGTCTTAGCTCCCAGAGAATCTCGAATTCTGCTAGAGGGTTTTGATCCTCTTGGAACCCTAAAATCATATCACTTGACTCTTTTATTCAAGCTTTCACCATACACTCATTTGGGAGATTGCAGGCCTTATTAGTCTGAAATAACTAAGGGATAATATTAACATGTTAAGAAAGAAAGAATCTGTTACTTGTCACTTGTAGCTTGCTGCCATCTGGCTTTTGCCTGCCATGAACTGTTTCTCTTCTGTGATGCCCTTTTGTCATGGCACCCCACCTTGGATCCAACCAATTATGAACTGAAACCTCTACAAACTGTGAGCTACAGTAAACCTGTCCTTCTTTAACTTTGGGTGTCGGGTATTTTGTCTCAGCAATGAGGAAAGTAACTAAGACACTTGACATTGGTAAAGAGCTACTTTTGTTGAGTAGCCAAGAATTCTTGGAAGAGGGGCTGAAATGGGAATACTGGTGAGTATAACTAAGATTCTAATGGGGCAAGGGTGTCCTTTGCATGGTTTGCTGACTATAGGAATGCTCTGACTCACTTTAGACTTCTAAAAGTAGAGGAAGGGCTTTCCCAATAACCCACCCACTTTTCAGGTGGCAATCAAAATAGTCATGAAATAAACAACTTTCTCACCAAGGTTCCTTTCTGTTCCCACAAACTTACAAGTTTGAATAAGTGGGTGAGCAAGAAGGTCCTATCAGGGACTTTAGTAGTTCTCTTCTGTGTACTGAGATCCAGTTCACATCTGACCTCGCTAGCTTAAGGTAATCCATCCAGCCCAAACTTTTACATTCATTTGCCTAAAACTTGCTTTGCAGACTTATTATTCTTGGTTGGTTTTATGATTTGCTTAGACATTACAGTGATTTTTCTTGCTCTGTCTGCATTGTATGTCACGTTTCAGGAACTGTGTCTTATACTTCTTTGTATTTCTCGCTACCTTCGAAGAGTGATGCAGAATGTGCTTAGTTTGGTAGTGTGGAAATAAATGAAGACCAACCAAAAAAGAACAAGCAAAATCTTTTTATTCAGAACTTGTTATAGGAAGGGACTTTGCTGCTATTACTTGTGTGTTGGCAGTGACTCAAAGGCAGGCAGAGGAGTGGGGAAAAAGGGAAGGCTTTGGGTGTGTGCTAATTGGAGGTTGATGGCACGAGATGCTGGAGGTGCTTATGCAGAAGTGTGGCAACCATTGTGATTGGTTAGGATATGTGTTTGGCTTGCCCTGGTTGGTCCTAAATTGGAAACAGGACAGAAATTAGGGAAACTGACAGTTGTTAGTCAAGTTCTGGCTCTTCTGGGCCAGTTTTTATAGAGGTTATTATTTGGCTTCCTGGATTGTTGATACAGTGGTCTGAATTTATGATGGCAGACTGGTTTCCTGAGCTAGTTGCTGTCAGTAGTGGGTTGGTTTCCTGGGCTGTAGACTGTAGGTCACAGTTTTATTTTATTTGTAGCCTGACCATTATCTATTTATTTGTATATTCGATCTCTCAGGAGCTACCAGTAACATCGGTTGAATTAATGTATTGTTTTGACTATAGTTAGAAGGACACCTTCTGAATTCAGGTTCTTTCTCTTTCCTTTGGCTACTTGCAAGTGACTTATTTAATAAATATTTTCTGTTTTATTTTTATAACAGGATCCTAGGAATAACACAAACCTACTGTTTTCATTCCCTTTTTTAGTCATTGTCTTGGAGTCTAAAACACTGGTGAAATTGGGGTCATGGTTAAAATTGCTTTAAAGTCCCTCATTTTATAGATGAAGAGATAGAGACCTAGAGACTTGCCCAAGGCCATGCTGCTCACCGATAAGCTAAATCCACCGTGGGAAAGAGGTAGATGGTCAGTCTTCAGCTCTGACCTTTCGAGTCTTTCTGCATCATGTTGAAGAACAAGAAAGGTCTTGTGTAGTTTTTAAAATCTGGAAAAAGATGAAGTTTCTAAGAGTGGAAGACTTTGACAAATACTGTTTTCAAAGCCACGGGATAGGTCAATGTGTGGTGGGAACCTTGTTGGGTTCATGACATATGATATGCTGTATTTATTTTTCGTGCTGCCTTTACAAAGCACCACACCCTGGGAGAGGGGCACATTTAAGAGAATACTTAGTTTCTTGTGCCTCTGGAGGCTTGAGGTCTGAAATGAATGTCTCTGCAGGACCATTCTCCCTCTGAAAAGTGTAGGAGAGAATCCTGCTTCGCTCGTCTAGCTTCTGGTGTTTTCTGGCAATCCTCAGATGATAAATGCATCACCCTAATCTCTGCCTCTGTTGTCACATGGTGTTCTTTCTGTGTATCCCTGTCTGTCTGAAATTTCTAGTCCTATTTGCTTAAGGGCCTATCCTGCTCCAGTATTACCTCATCTTAAATGATTACATTTACTGTGTCCCTGTTTCTAAATAAGGTCACATTCTGCAGCATTAGGGACTAGGACTTCAGCCTATCTTTTTGGAAACACAGTTCAATCATAACACAAGCCATTATGCAGAGCTACGTCCTCTATGTGGACCTCCAAAGTCATGGAGGCTTTCCTATCACTTCCCAGTCACTGCCAGCACATAGCTCATGACTAAACAGCGTGTCTCCAAAATTGGTGACTCGCAGAGCTGCAAACAGGCCATGTGGAAGGCTGCTTAGTAAGAAACTGTCATCTAAAATAGTCACCAGGTTCCTTTGTAAATATGCGTCAGAGGGTATTTAGAATCGTCATACCATCCCACTGCTACACGTTGGTGGAACTATTAAGTAAATTACACATCCCTGTGTCTTTTAGGAACTTCTTATTCACAATTGCCGTGAACATATCTGTCTGAGGGAGGATGCTCACCCACCTTCATCTCAGCATTTAACCTTGTCTGTTTCTGAAGTTCATGCTGCTCTGAAGTCAGCTGTGTTCACCCTGTCACCTCTGTTAGTCATCTTCTACCACTTTTTCTCTTTCTTACACTTACAGGAAGTAACGTTTTTGCTCAGGTAGACCTGTTATAGGAAGAGTGTTCTGCTTGTTTGATGATTCATTCCTCTGCTTTTTGCCATTTCTAAATGTTAGGGAGAAAAGACTTTTTTGTTTAGGACTTTAATAAATAGGCATGGTCAGTGGGATGAGCAAAGGCGGTCATTTGTGAAGCACTTTGAACAGAGCAGCAGTAATCTTGTTTATTGGTCTTTGTGTTCTTCTAGAGAGTAGCATCCTGGTTCTCACACCCACTGAAATCCGGAAGACTGACTCCTCTGATGAGAGACTGCTTTCTGATGAGGAGATAATCTTCTCCATTTCCTTCTTGATGCATGGGTGAATCACGGCAAGATGGATGTCATCTGAGCATTCCCTTCGCTCTATTTCTGGATGTAGATCATGAGTGGATTCATGAGTATGTTTGAGCTGAGATAGATCTGAGTTTATTCATTTAAATAACAAGCTCCCCAGAAAAGGTTATGGACTCATTTGTGTTCCTCCGGAATTTATATGTTGATGTCTTAAGCCCCAGTACCTTGGACTATGACTATGCTTCAAGATAGGGCCTTTAAGAGGTAACTGATGTTGAATGAGGTCATATGGGTTGGCCTTACTCCAACCTAGTTTATGTTCTTAGAAGAAGAAATTATGACATGGACATACATAGAAAGAAGATGAAGTGAAGACACAAGGAGAAGATGGCCATTTATAAACCAGGAAATAGATCTCAGAAGAAATCAACCATGACAACTCCTTGATCTTGAACTTCTGGACTCCAGACTTGAAATAAATTTCTGATGTTAAGCCACTTAGTTTGTGGCATTTGCTACAGCAGCCCTAACAAATGAATATCAAAGAAGACAGCTTCAGATACATGAAGCGAGCCTTTAAACAACATCACTTCTATCAATGGAGCTCCAGGGCCATGTCCCTAAGCTTCCCAGTCCTGGGCCCGGCCTTATTCATCTAATGTGACATTTTATTTGTTATGAAAAAGATCATACAAGTCTACTTCATTTATGAATGCAGTTTAATTGGCATCTCAACAGTGGTGTCAGTTCTTTTGCCATTTTCTGCAACACCAAAGGAGAATTTTCTAAGCTAGTATTTTTTGTAACTGTAAAGATGACAAATGTTATCAACGAAATCCAACCCGAGTATATTTTCATCCCTTTTCCTCTTGTCATGATAAGCCAGAAGTATTTGTTGCCAGAAATGGAAAACAGCTTGCTCATCAGCCAGATGATCACAGCATTCAAAGTTCTACTCGTTTGCCATGTGCGAAAAGTTAAGAATTGAAAACAGACAGGCTTACTCGGCTTAAACAGAGAGAACCATAAAGCAAGAGGAGGAGATATTTGTATGCTCAGAGGGGAGAGGTGGAAATGGTGTTGATGGCAGAATGAACAGGGTCTTTTCGCATTGCTCTGAGGTGGGACTTCTGGGTCTGTTTGACAGTGGCTATCACAGTTCATCAAGTGCATGAAAGGTGCAGCTAGGGTTACCCACCACTGGAGGCTCCCTTTGTGTTCTGGAGCAAATGCCAGTGTTCTGCACAAACATGGCTCTTGGACTTCTCTGATACCTGACGTGACATTCTTTAGTATTTCAGTTACTCTTACTGCTTGTTTTGAGTAGGGTACCGCCATGAGTTCTTAGCAGAAGGAAGAAGTGTGCAGTGGGCCTGTGAGACTGCTCATGACATCTGGAATTATCCCACTGTTTTTCCCCTCCTGCGAGGAAAAATATATTTATCGAATTCTCGTGTTATTGTGTTATTACTCAGATATCCCATTATCATAGTATGATGCTTTAGGTTTGCAGAATGATTTCTAATCATTTTTAGTAGTCTCTCTTTCAAATTAGGGAAAGGAGGTTTTGATAGTGGAGCCATTTTGAGAAGTAGAAATGCAGATTTACAGAGGTCAAACAATTGACTCAAGATTCCCCCTCCCCAAACACAACAAAACAAAAAAGAAGAAGAAGATGAAAAAACAAAGTTTGCATTCTGGGTTCTAATTATCAGGTCTCTGGAAGTTCACAGAATCACATTCTGTTTTGCTCACATTGTGCGAAATCATTTGCAGTTCAGCACTTAGATTCACTCCTGTGTCTGACTCTCAAAGTCTTGTATGTTACCTTGACCTCAAAGATTTATCTGCCTAAGACAGACAAAACTCCACCCCATCCGATTCTCCTTTGTTACAGCAAGCTCAGAATAGACCGAAAGAAGCACATTCTCATGGAAAGAGCTGTTTTGAATCCACCTCCTATCTGTAAAGCTAGGAGTGCCAATTAGTCTACAGGGTGGGTGTTTTGTAGGCCAGGAATTACAGCTGGATGGAGACCAGTGATCTGAAAAGGAGGAGGGAGGAGATGGAGAGTGACAGACTTCCAGGGACACCTTCTCCTGCCTCATTCGAGGAGCTCCATCTTCTCCCACTCATGGGTGATCTGTCTCCAGGTCTCAGGTTTTCAGTTGACGAGCGCTCAGCAGTAGGCCGCAGCTCTTCCGTGCTTCAGTCAGATGAAAGGACAGATCAGAAGGTACCTATTACATGTCTGCGAGCAGAGAAACAAAGGCCCGGCTGCTGACACCCTCCTACTAACTTGGGTTTTAATGGTAGGTTTAATTTCCTTGTGCTAGCTCAAAGAAAGAAGCAGGGAGAGCCAGGGTATGAGTAGTGGTGGTGAGAGGGGGGAACGACAGCTGTTGTATTCATGGTTAATCAGGTGTGTCTCTCTTTGTGTCGCATCTGTCTGCTACTGTTGCCAGGCCACATGTGAAAGGGAACGGAGGGGAAGGGCCATTCATGTTCAAAGCCGCTAGCACTGACCTCTGCTTCGTTCTCCTAGGGGTAGGAGAGCTTGTCTATTTAACTTTCCCTATTCTAGGAAGCTGTAATTCTACTTTATTAGCCCACCCTAACCATTTTGGCCTGACAAATGCAAGCTGCATCCAGAATGCTATAAATCTGGTAGAGGAGGAGGCCTCCTACCTCCTTCCCTTGCATTTCCTTTGGGATCCCATTGGATTTATCAAATGAGAGAAACCAGAAAGAAAGAGACGATGAGAACTCAAGAGCATCCTGGTTTGCCTTTGTCCCAACAGGACCCAACACTGTCCATAGATTTCCCTGCTGAGCAGGCCTGTGAGGTTTCCCTGGGCCGTGCCTAGATCTCCCTTTCGTCTCTAAACCTGTCTGTCTCACGACTCCCATACAGGCATGTTTGCGTCAGACCTTAGTCAGCTCTCTGGCACCATACCCTTTCCCTGCATCCCGCCCTTCCTGCCTCCCTCCGTGCCCATGTTCAGAGAGAGCTCGGTGAAGGAGTGGGAGGAGTGGAGGCAGCTGCCTGCTCCTTCTGGAGCTGGGTCTGTGCTCTGGCTGCTGCTGCCCGGGCCTGCTAGACACGACTCTGGTCAGTCCCATGGAGAAACAGCTGACGTGGAAACCGCCTCTGCTCCCTTGTCCCCAGGGCACAAGACTGCATTCAGACTCAGTGTCCCAGTTCCATGGTCTTCTGCAGCTGGAGGCTCAAACCACCTGTGAGGAGCTCCGAGGGCTCCGTCTCACCCCTTTGGGGATGCTTGCTTTCATCTTCGACTTTGGGCCCAGCACTGAAGTTTCTTGGAGTAAATGTAGTTGTCAGGATCTTCGAGACTGAGGAACTCTGCCTCCAACTTTGGTTGTCTTGGAGCATGGACCATCCTCATGGACTCAGTACGGCTCACAAGCGGTCATCATTTGCCAGCTTCAAAACCAGCCCTAACTTTCACCCCATCTTGTGCAGCTGGAGTTCAGCTTTTGGGATGTGGTGTGTTTCTGCATATACATGCATATGTATATATCTTTTTCAGTCAAAATGGTTAATTTCCCAGGGCACAGGTTGTCATCAGCACCGGCTGTTTCTCTTGTCTGTGGGCCTGTGCTGATTACCATGGCTGCGCTGCTGACCTGCAGCTTTGGGGTCAGGGCGCCTTTGTTTCCCTAAGGCCAGAGGACATTGGAAAACTATCCCACTGCCTGTGCTTGGCCCTCCTCCCTCGGATAAGCCCTGCATCTCTAAATTTCAATAGGCAAACACTAAGCTCTTCAGAGGAGACTAGCATCCTGCTAGGTTCTGTGGGGCCTTTGAGAATTTGTCATCTTGTGAGAGGCCAAGGGCTCTCTGAATCAAAGAAGTAATAGCAACGGAGGGCTGGACATGACATCTAAGTTACATACAGAAAATCCTAAGCATACAACTCAGAGAATTACTTCTAAGTGAATACATTCATGCAACCATCACCCAGATTAAGAAACAGACTCTTACAGCAGATGGAGTGTCTTAATTTTCTGTTTACAGGGGTGCCCGACCACATCTAATGCTGTTCTACAACACAAATGGGACTGGGGTTCAGTTCTTAACTAGATGGTTATGGAAGATTAGAAGTAGAAAGGTTTCTCTTGGCTGGAAGGGATTTGTCTATGGCAAGATTTGAGTGTGACATAGGTTAGTCTTTGGCAAAGTTCTCCTAGACTTCAGAGGCCCCAGGATGCATGTTGTTCCTGGCTCTAGGAGAAGACATAGAAAATTCTAATATCCATTCCTCTATAAAAATTGTGATAAAGTATCCATAAAATAAAATTCACCTCCTTACCCATCTTTAAGTGTATAACTCCATAATGCCGAATATATTCAGACTGCCCTGCAGCCAATCTTCAGAACTGTTTTCATCCTGCAAACCGGAAACTCTTTACCCATTAAACAACCCCTCATTATCCCTCTGCCAGTCTTTGACAACCACCACTCTATTTTCTGCCTCTATGAATTTGATGACTGTACAGAGGCCTCAGGTAAGTGGAATTCTACAGTATTTATCTTTTTGTGCTTGTTTCTTTCATGCAGACTTTAAGGTTTACCTATGTTGTTTCATGTGTTCAAATCTCCTCACTTTTGAGGGCTGAATAATACTCCACCAGATGTATTTACCATATTTAGTTAATTCATTTATCCATTGACAGACACTTGAGTTGCTTCCATTTAGCTATTGTGAACAGTGCTTTTATGAACATGGATGCAAAAATATCTCTCCAAGTTACTGCTCTCATTCCTTTTGGGTGTGTTTGCAGAAGTAGAATTGCTGGTCATATAGTCATCTAGTCATTCTATTTTTGTAGAATCCTGGCATACTCTTCACCTGGATTTCCTCCTGGGTATCTGCTTGGGTTACATCAGCATGAGCCTGATGTATGGATTGAAGGAGTACCAGGATTGTGGTAGGGACTCGATATGGGTCCATTCTAGGGAACAGAGAGTCTACGAGGCAGGATGGAGTAGAGACAAGGCAATCCAT